GCCCGCCCGCAGCAGGCTGGGAGCTGTAGTCCGGCCCGGGGATGCTGCAGGCACCTCCCCATCGCCGCCTGTCTGCTCGCAGCCCGGCTTTGTCTTAAACGTGCCCGGGGAACCTGCTCCGATGCTCCCCTCCCCGGTTTTCCTGGTACCCAGCCTCCACCCTTGTTGCAGCTCGAGAGCATGGCTGGGTGGAGAGCAGCCCGGCTCCGTCCTCTGCGGGTCTCCCGAGGCGGTCGCGGCCGTGACCTTACTCGCAGGAGCCACGGGTTTCTCCGAGGTTTCAAGCTGTCTGGAGGGCGTTGAAGCTGCCGTTCAGTCCCCCTCTGCAGACTACATCAGCCCAGCCCCCTCGGCTCATCTGTCACGTCTGCCCAGCCCCCCTGAACCAGTTTTGGTTGCCCTTCGCTGGGCTCTTCCCTAATTTGTGCGTGTCCTTTCCATAGCGGTGGCCGAAAACTGGACACTGGACTCCAGATGTGGCCTCGCCAGTGCTGAATCGAGGGGAAGAATCATTGCCCTTGACCCGCTGGCAACGCTGGTGCTCGTGCAGCCCAGTGGGCCGTTAGCCTTCTTGGCAACTAGGCCTTGGCTTTGGATTAATATCATGCATACTTCGTACTATTTACTTACCCGGCAGGGGAAATACCAGGACCCCTATGGGGGTTTTCCTAGTCGCTTTTGTGGCACAGGGTAGTACCTGCAGAGGTAATGTGTAGGTAACCTCCCACTTTCATTTCCAGTGGGAAGATCTTGGCGTTACACCCACGTTATGGAAATGAGAGACTCCTCCCTAGCTTGCTTCTGCGGCCATATGGCGGAGGGCAAGCAAAACTCGGAGTCATCCAAACCTCAGGCCTCTGGGCTTGGGCCTGCACGTAGGATGCCCGCCAAAGGATTTAAAAGCATCTGAAGCCCCAGGGGGTGGAGGATGCTTGCCGGTAGCAGGGCCACATTCAGTTCTTGAATGACCAACGGATTTGGCTTGGAACACACAACACATTTTCCTTAAAAAAACCCCAAAATTGGGGCACGCTGTTGGTTCATATGCAGCTTATTGTCCACTGTAACCCCCAGGTCCTTTTTTGCAGAGATGCGCATAAAGGGTGGTTTAGGCAGCATCATGAGGCTGGGGCTTAGGAAGAGCCAGGTCTTGCCTGCATTTGCGAGTAGGCCTGCTTCCCTTCTTGGAGGCCAGCAACCCATTTAGTTGCTTTAATACCAACCCCCAGGGTAGAAAAGAGGAAGCAGGGGTTTGCATCCCAGCCTGCCCTTCTTTGCTTGTAGGATTTGACATGGATAGGACCTGATCATGAGACAAGCTGTTCTTGGTATATTGGATATTGTTGCCTATAGTTGTGTGTGAGCAACTGAGGTGGTGACCTCAGGGGGATTCCTTACCTACCGACAAAAAAAGGAGGCGCCCTCCAGTTACGTTCCTATATTTCTAAGATGCATCACACCTTCCATCCAAGGATCTCAGACTGCTTTATAGATGCAATGTACTTCACTTATATAATATTGGGTAAGTGTATAATTAGCTTACTTATATATTGCCTGCACATTGTATCATCTAGTATTGCTGCATTTTAATTTACCATGTTGGTTAAGTGCATACACTGCTTAAGTGCATAGCATATTTCAGCTCTGCTGTCTGCGTTATAACTTCATTGTACTTGGATAATTGCATGTTGCCTGTAATGGTAGTTCTTTACCTAGTAACTAATTGGCCTTGATTTAACTGCCAGAAACAGGGAACGGGAAGCTGCTGTCAAAGAGATGCCATTAGAGCTTCGGAAATGAGCAGGACTAATCTGTTTCATGGCTGCTATCTCCCTTTATTTTCAAAGCATCTAACAGAACAGGGGTGGCCAACCTGTGCCATAGGTGCCACGTGTGGCACAGGCAGCATCTGTGTGTGTGCCCTGTGGCAGACTGGGGAGGGGACAGGTAGCACAGCAGCAGATAGGGCTGGGAGCAGAAAGCAGAGCATCAGATCAGGCAGGGAGCACAGGGCAGGGAGCAGAAAGCAGAGCAACAGGTTGGTCAGGGAGCATAGAGCAAAAAGCAGAAGAGCAGATCAGGTAGGGAAAAGGGATCAGAGTAGGACTTGGGAGGATGCAGAGCTAATTTGTGGCTTGCCTGCCAAAAACAAGGCTGACTCCCCCTGTAACAGAAGCCTCAAAATATGAGGAGAAAAACCTTGGAAATTCGGGAAGCTGGTCAATTTCTGAACTGTTGGCACCGCAGCCCTGACAGCGCAGGGTACGTATGTACCTAGCAAGCATTGCTTACAGTGTTATTGGTGCCACGGTTTTAGCAACCCCAAAACCAACTAGCCCCCTTCATTTGTAAGGCCTCTAATAGCAGACCTGACTTGAAAATTATGGGGGCTTGTCAGTCTGGGGGCTGCCAAATACCATGACACTGATAAATCTTTAAGCAATGCATGTTAAGTATACAGTGCTGCCATTGCTGTGATACTAGAAGACCCCAAACTGACTAGCTCCCCTTATATTCAGAGTTTCTAATAATGAATATTTGGGCTGCTGTCAAAAACCCTGCAAATAAAGAAAGCTGATCAGAAGCCCATGACCTTAGCACAGTGGGTTCTCAAACTATTTTAGACTCAAGGCTCCCCTCAAAAAATGCCAGCTCTTAGCTTTTGCTTGTCTATTTTTACTGCAGAAACAAATAAAGCAGCTCTCCTGCTGCAAAGAACTCAGAAGGACCACAACAGGTCAGACATGTTTTTGACACTATGGGTTTCTATTTGAGACATCTAGGTTTATGTTGTGAATCGTATAGGTGTTTGCATACCAAACAGTACTAATATTGTGTGGCATCCTTAAAAGGATGGCATGAATCCTGGTTCAGGATCATTGTTCTAGCAAATATTCAAGTCTCTCTGTTCCAGTAACATATATTTGTGTTCTTGAATTAATGGAGAATCATAAAATCATAGAAAATTAGGGTTTGAAGGGACCACAGGAGGTCACATCTAATCCAACCCTCTGCTCAAAGCAGGACCAGCCCCAACTAGATCATCCCAGCCAAATCTTTGTCTACCTAGGTATTTAAAACCGTCAAAGATGGAGTTTCCACCATGTCTCTGGGTAACCTGTTCCAGTGTTTTACTACCCTCCTAGTGAGAAAGTTCTTCCTAATATCTTACCTAAACTTCCCTTGTTGCATCTTGAGACCGTTGTTCCTTGTTCTATTATGTGCCACCACTGAGAACAGTCCATCTCCATCCTCTTTGGAACCTGGTTCAGGTAGTTGAAGGTTGTTACCCCACCCCGTCTTCTCTGCTCCAAACTAAATAAGTCCAGTTCCCTGAGCCTCTCCTCGTCTCCTTTATAAGTTAGTAATTCAGGACCTTTGAGGTTCAGTGGAGAGGTTCTAATGGTATCTAGTAACATATAAGCAATACATCTGCTATATTACATTAACAGGGTCCCCATTTTACAGATGGGGAACTGAGGCATACCATGATTTTTGTGGCTTGAGTATGACTGTGCAGTCACTCTATAGAAGAGATGGGTATAGGAGCCAGATTTTCTGACTCTTAACCATTTGATTATTAATGGAGACATACAGATTGGTTCTCTTCTTTGTGAGTATGCAGCCACAAGGATCTAAAAACCTACCTCTGATCGTGGATTGTGTGCAGATTTGTGCTCCAAAGCCAAAGACTGAACCAGAATCTGCGGCACCATCCTCTGATTGGGGGAGTTACCATAAAATAATGGAGCTCAGCAGTGTAGTCAGTCAGTGCACTTCTCTAGGGAGCAGAGACAAGCCCTGAGTTGAATCACAAGGGGAAATGAGATCCATTGCGTCCTTACTAGCTTCCATCTCCGTGCCCTGATGACAGTAAAATGCTGCGGACATCTACTGAAGAGTACCAGCACCCTCGGGGATGCGCGTTCCCCAGAGAGGTGGCATTATCTTCGGTCATGTCTGTCTGGTATGTTTGGTCCCAAGTCAGCCATTAACGTGACTGCCTAACCTCCCCCCCCCCCCCCCACATTTCAGCCTAATTAGTGGTAGCCAGAAGTCCTTCCCTGAGGTGGTGTTGAAGGTCTGAACGTGACTTGGCAAGACCATTGTGAATTTTCTTTGTGTGTTTTCCTAAAGTCTCTGAAATGACTTTGTTATTGGGAAAAGGACTGACTATCTTTTGTTTACCTGCAGAATAGCAGCAGAGGAAACTCCTTCCAGCCAATGGGTAGATGAGTAAGGAAGGAAAAGCCCATAAGCTTTGCCAAAAACATTATACTTATGGACTGACCTGACACCATCATGGCTGGAAGAGCTGGTAGACCAAGGGGCTTTGGCTATTAATGAATGCAGCCCTAGTCATGCATTGTCACGGGATGGTTGCTTTGGTGGCCCATGTGAAATGAGCTGGGGACTTGGCACAGAATGGATTCACGTGGTACAAGACAGGCACTGACAGGTCCCAGTGATGATGCTCTCAGTAGCAGCATTAAGGGCAGAGCAGGCCAAGGAGACCAAAGTCCCTTCACAGCACTGAAATTTGTTCCTTTCAGGTAAGGGGAGGATAGGAAAGGCAGCTCGGGCTCCCTGTGCAGTGCTATCCAGGGAATGCACAAAGGACATCAGCATCTAGTGCAGGCTGACAAGTGTCCACAGCAGCCAGCAAAAGCTTCTAAGACTAGTCCCTTTCAACTATACTCATCTGTATTGCACATCAATAACAATGCAGAATAAGGATTTAAAGATGAGGAAATGAGCTTTTAATTTGTGCTGTTGGGAGTGGGGGAGGCAGTATTTGTAAATGATTGAAAAAAAAAAACAAAACAGTGACGAAATGAGGTTAATTGGACTGTATAGACCCAGTGCTACTAGGTACATGCCATAGAGACCTAGAAGCCCAGATCCAAAGTGAC